TAGATCCAATTTATAGACATGACTAAAATACAATATATCCACATCCCATTGAAATATGTTAATATATTCTCAAGTAGATAGTAAGACCTTGTACCTTCACATCCTTGCTGCAGAAAAGCATTAGATGAACTGCAAAATGAGTCTATCAGTTGGAGAAGATATTTTGAGTAGCCCATTGCATGAGATATAATATTCACAAAAGTTGCTAGGTTTTCTTTTTAGCCATGATCTTCTGCTTTTAAGAAACCTCAGACAGAATTTGAGCCATTGATAATTTTCATGGCACTATGATTTTCTGATGGGGAACACATCAACTTCATTGAACACATTAAAAAGTTGCTTCTAGTAAACACAACACCGTGAGGAATGGAGAACTTGAACGATAGAAGGTCAAAAGATGGAATCTTGCATTTCAGAACAATGATCAAAACAATCAAAGGCAAGAGTATAGAAAAGGAGACACCCTGACTTGACAGTCCTACATGTAAAAAGTGTACTGTAGTGGATCACAGGCTAAATAGGAGCCAGCAGTGTAAATTATTTCCTTATTTCATAGATTCCCCCTCCCCCTAATTGGAGGTTCAAAGTGGCTCACTATGATTCCCTAAATGGGGGCTCAAGGTGGCTCATGATAGCTGTATAGTCAATACAGCCATAGCAGGGTTCTGCACATGGCAAACAGAAAAAGGTAACTCCATCATGTTGCTTGTGATCCTACTGTAATGCTTCTTTTGAAATTTGGGCATCGACTATATGAGTTGTGGCTTCCTTGGAGCAAGTGATCTCCTTTAAAGACTTACAGGAAGATGCAAGGCCATATGCCCTACAACTGAGCCTCAGTTAGGCACTCTGGAAACAGTTGGAGAATATGATGGTGCTGTTCTGGAGCTCCAGATTCTGCCTGTTGTTCCTACCAACCCAGTATCCTGTTGCAACATCTGCTGATGTGAGGCTTTGTTCTGTCTTTTGACTTCACTTCCCGTAAGACCCTACCCACTTCAGTTCAGAAGTAGGCTGATGAAACTCTGTATTGGCCTTTGGCTCCTGTGGATCATCTGACTCTCCTGTGGTTTATTTTGATTCTGATATTGTTGCCATGCTCTGACTGTCATTGAGTGTCCTTGTTACGGCAGTGGTTAGTTTGGCTGTGGCTTGCTATACTGTCAATGACTCTGGACTGCAACAGCCTGCTAGGGAGACCTTCATGAAAACAGGACACTCTTGCCTTATCTTTGCAGAGTTGGAGTTCATACCTTGAGTTTATTCCTTTACAGCTGGAATATATTATTTTCCGATTGCCCATTAAAATGCAACAGTAAGGCTCTGGCTTTTAAAACCTCTGCATCAAGCAATCCCATAGAGCACGTATTCCGGCAACATAACTGTATATACAACTGGCATAACCCTCTGCCATAAGGGAGCTTCCCCGAAGGCACTGAACTCTGCCATCATTCACTAAAAATATATCTTCCGTCAACAGTGTGAAGGCTGAAGGTCAAGCAATGCTAAAAAAGATGGGGGGGGGGGGGGAATTTATTGGAACACGTAATTCAAAATGAAGGGAGGGTACCTTGAGTAGCACATTCTGCATAGTCCTAAAGCAGAACTAACAAATGGCATAGCATTTGTTCACCAGGCCTTATAAACCCTTGCTATTCCATCCATCTTTCCAGACTCTGCTGGATTTCAGCTTAGTGGTCAATTTGTTTTTAGTTGACTCTTGCCTCATCTATGTTTTTCAGAGCAAGCTGCTGTTATTGGCTCATTTTTCTGGATCACCTAATTCAATCTCATTGTGCTGGTCAGCTGTGTTGCCAGTCTATAAATAAAATCAGGCCTAGCTTCCTTCACCAAAAGAAGCTGAAATGATTTTTACAGGAAAGGAGATTCCACCTGAACTTTAGGAAGAATTTTCTGACTGTGAGAACTGTTCAGCAGTGGAACTCTCTGCCCTGGAGTGTGGTAGAGGCTCCTTCTATGGAGGCTTTTAAACAGAGGCTGGATGGCCATCTGTTGGGGGGGGGGGGTGCTTTGAACACAATTGTCCTGCTTCTTGGCAGGGGGTTGGACTGGGTGGTCCACAAGGTCTCTTCCAACTCTATGATTCTATGATTGGAAGAAAGAAACTTTTCTATGAGACTAGCAAGGTTGGAATGAGTTCTACTGCTGAAAGTTTCCTGGGACTGCATTCTATTGCGAGGTGAGACCAAAGACAGCAGAATGAGATCAAAAATGTTTCCACAGTTATTTTAAAGTTCTTAGTGCTGGTAACTTAGCTGAAGGAGAGACATTATGTGTTCTAAAGTGAGAGAAAGCTCATACAAAAGCTGAGAAAGTGATGGTGTTATATGTAAGCAAGCATAGGCAGCTGAGAAACTCCAGAGGAATCGATTGGGGTCCCCAAGATGCTAAGCTTTGTTTCTGAAGAGAAATAATCTGAACAATGAAATCCTAATGCTTTGCAAAGAGAGCACCATGTCTGGAATAATAATAAGTGATCAGTGTCCACTGATCTTGATGTGACAACACCAACACAATACGAAGGCATGACATCATGAAGACACAATTTAATGCATACATTGATGTTAAATACGAACAGGGGGCAAACAAGTAACTGGAATTCTGCAATAAGATGGCCGTGTTGAAATTAAATTGTAGAGGTCACCCTGTAATGGCCAGAAATCAATCTTCAATATTCAGAATGATATACCCACCAGAATTTGAGGTGTAGTATTTTGAGAGAATGTGGGAAGTGAAGCCCACGACAGCAGGAAGAGATATACATTCCTCTTCAGATAGCTGTTGATGTTCTGATGGAAGTCGCAACAAAGAGGTAGATATTTAGGGACTTAATCTCCCTATATCCCATGAATGGATGAGGGAAGCATGCCAACCCAAGAGCTAGCACAATCCTTTGCTAACCATCTGCCCTGCTTTTCATTGTCATGGAATATTTGCTCTCAATTACCCTTGGATTGCACTACCTACCCACTGGATAGACTTTAATAAACTGTTCACTTGCTGTTTATCCACATATTTATCCATTTTTCTTTTGCAGCTTCCACACTTAAGCAAGCACGGACCTCCTTCTATAAGACAGCCTTTCTCTATCTGGTGACTTCCAGTTGTTTTAGATTTCGGTGCCCGTCAACCAAAGCAATTGCATGCTAATATAAGTTGTACTCCTGAACAGTTCAGGTTCTGCTGCTGGTCATTGTTGAGCAGTTTCATAATTATAGTATAGCCTTTAGGAAAAGCCTAAAAATCTGGCTCTTCCGGTGTGCTTTTGAGGAATTAACAACAAATCCCCATAGCATGACTCTCCCAGTACAAATTTGTCCTTTTGAGGCACTCTATCTCATCCCTTAGTGAAAACCAACCCCATTGTTTGTCCCATCTGAATCTCCCACCAGATTCACTACTTAATTTATCTATCTCACATAGGGTTTTATAATTTTATCCCTTGCATTTGGCCCTGCCCACTGTGTTCAATTCTTTTATTATTTTATTTTATATCTTGTGTTTACCCTATTCTATTATTTTGTTATTGTTTGCATTTGATTGATGTTATTATCTGTTGTATATATTTTACTTTGATTTATTGTAATTCTTGGGCTTGGTCTCATGTTAGGTGCCCCGAGTCCCCTTGGGGAGATGGTGGCGGGGTATAAATAAAGATTATTATTATTATTATTATTATTATTATTATTATTATTATTTCCATGAGGGATATGTTTCAAGGCTCCCTGTGGATATTAATTTTAAATGTTGGAGGAAAAAGACTCCTTGTGGATACCTGAAGCTGTGGATAACAGTGAACTCTATATTTTGGCTATAATTGAGCCAGAAGCATACCATAGAATCATACTCAAGGATCTCGAGAAGTGCACAATCACTTCCAGGAGCATATTTTTGGAGAATCATAGAATCCTAGAGTTGGAAGAGACTTCATGGGCCATCCAGTCCAACCCCCTGCCCAGAAGCAGGAAAATTGCATTCAAAGCATCCCTGACAGATGGCTATCCAGCCTCTGTTTAAAAGCTTTCAAAGAAGGAGCGTCCACCACAGTCCGGGGCAGAGAGTTCCACTGCTGAACAGCTCTCACAGTCAGGAAGTTCTTCCTAATGTTCAGATGGAATCTCCTTTCTTGTAGTTTGAAGCCATTGTTCCGCATCCTAGTCTCCAGGGCATCAGAAAACAAGCTTGCTCCCTCCTCCCTCCTCCAGTGGGCAACTGAAACCATGGATATTGAATAAGTGGATATGGGGGGCATGCTGTATATGGAATGCTGGGATTAGTAAGCATTGTGTCTAATAAGCATTTTCAGCAACTGGGTAGATAGATACATGAGTCATTTTACATTGATTTGTCTCTGCCCCAAGTCCCTTTGGTGAGAGAGGGCAGGTTATAAATAAAGTATTATTGTTATCATATTATCATTATAATAATTTTAAATATAAAGATGATGCCAGTTCTCCTTAGAATCTCTTTTAAAACTTCTCTATAACACTTGCTTCTGTTCCCAAAATTAAATACATCATTCAACAAAAAAAAAATTTGAAATGAAAATATTAAAATGAGGGCAAAACTTTTGGGTTCCTTCTCAACCTAGGGCAGCTCACTTCCATTTGGAACTGTCTGGCACATTTTCCTCTGTGTTCTCTTGTGGCCCTGGTTGTGTGACATAATGACATCAGCTCCCCTGAGCACTTTGCAATGGCCAAGAGGCATGGTTTCTGCTTTCCAGACAGAAAGATTGGGAGTGGGGCTCTGATGTTTCCAGATTTAATTGAAACATAATAGATGGGAAAGCATGCATTTTATATGGGATGTAGAAGTACTCATTGTGTTGAGAATAATTACATTTTAGCATCTATGTTTTGCATATTTTCCATTTTATCCCTGCAGCTTTGGTGCTAATCCGGGGGGGGGGGGGGTGGTGGTGGAGGGAAATAATGATGATGATGGTGATGATTATAATAATTCAATAATGCCTCCCTGTTTACCCAGAAACCTGCAGAGATAGGTTGGGAAGAGTTTCTGGCAGTGCCGGAAAAGGAACCAGGGGGCAGTGTGATGTAAGAGGAAAGACAAGAGTGTTTATTCAAGTTTGGAAAATTCAAGCGACGACGAAGAGGAGGAGGAGGAGGAGGAGGAGGAGGAGGATGCCCAAAAGCTGCAGCTTCTCTCTTGAGCGGCCTCTCGCCTGCAGCCAGGCATTGGCTGGGCGCTGTCCGGGGTGCTGAACCGTGAGGTCGGAGGCGTTCCCTCGGATTTCGGGCTACTGGAAAGGCTTCTTCACCAAACTGGATGCCTAAAAGCGAGAGGCTCCTCGCAATCCCAAGGCAGCCCAGGGCAGCCCAGCCCCTTCCAAGGCGAGCTCTCCTCCTCCCCTTTCCCTCCCAGAGGAAAATGTAGCCCGACTGGAGCTGAGGAGAGCGCCTTGGGCTGGTTGGCTTGCTGCATTGGAGCCCTGGCCCGGAGCCTTGACGCAAGAGAAGGAGTCTCCAGGAGGAAGAGGCATGGAGACCTATTGGGGCTACCAGAGCGGGGCTGGCAGCCCTTATGCCTACTCGGGGATGGGTGCCAATGGCACTGGCAACCAAAGCAGCACTTACTACAACGAGGACCTTCTGCATAAGGTATAGAAAGGCCTTCCTTTGTGTTTGTGCAAGGGGTAGCTGGAGTTAACATTAGGACAACAGCATGAATGAACATCAAGGAGGCACGGCAATGTTTATTTATATGTTTGATGTTTAGCTGAGTGCCCCTTGCTTGTAGACCCACCCTTTCTTGCTCTACACTGTATTTATGCCAAAGCCTCCAGATGATGCTTCCTGCATCCAGGGAAATGGGCAGCAGTCCACGGAAACTTGTGTTAAACTATGCACATTGGTCCCTTGGGTCCCATAGGACTTTGTGCTGAGTTGTACACTGCACAAAACAGTATCTGCGATTGGTATATGGTGCTTTGCAAGGTGACTGCACAAAGCAGGCAAAAAACATCCTGCCAAGAACTTGCAGGTCCCCTGAACTGCAGCAAGCTTTTTGTTTTTCTTCAAAGGAAGGAAATGAATGGGTCTTTCGAATCAAAATTAGGACCTCTTGAAACAACATCATTTCTAAATGGCAGGGGAAGGAGATGGTAAGTTAAAATATGCTATGTTAGTAGGAATGGAAGTTTAAAGATGGTTATTTGTTCTAAACCATGGAATCAGAGGGAGTTGCCTACATGCTGACTCCATTATTAAGCAATTAATTGGGTAGATCTACTCTAGTTGTGACAAACCAACAGGATGCCAACTGATGACTGTACAGTATCTTTAAAAGGAACTGTAACCCCAACTTGCATCTATTTCCTGAGCTTTTGCTCTTTTGCATGAACCATCCATGTAAATAGCTGCAGTGCTGGCAGAATCCAAAAGAGGGCGAGAATGAACATGATGATACTTTAATGCCAAGCTTTGGCTTATTTATAGAATCCCAGAAAAAAAAATCTGCACTGCAAGAAACTTTCAATTTGCCAGGAAATTATAGGGAACAGCACTACTGTTTGTGTCTGCTATATTGTTCAGCTGTCGGGCAATAATGGCTAGGCCTTTATTTATTTTCCAAGCAGTAATGAGTTTAATTTGTTAAGAGAGGCAGATACCAAATGGGATGAGAAATAAGGGCATGCTTGCAAGAACAGATACTAGTGTGAGATTTTGAAAACTAGTAATGTGCACTATAGTTTTCCATCCCCAATCAGAACATTTTTTGGGGCGGAGGACACTCTTCTATTGTTTTTATGAGGCACTTTTTTTCTAGATTATAGATTCTCTAGAGATCTCTAAATAGTTCTGGGTACAGTTAAAGCTACAGTACTAATAATTCCAGGGGTGGAAAGCTGTGACTTTCCAGAAATCAATAAACTGCCGCTCCCACCATCCCTTGCTTTTACCAGGCTGGCAGGGCATGGTGTAACCAGTAGTCCAACATCATCTGGAAAGCCAGAAGCTTTGTGTGGGTTTACTCCCAAAAACCTACAAAATCTTTGAATTTAATATGTTTTCATTTATACTAATTAACTGCATTAGAGTTGATGGGTGAAAATTTCTGCATGTAAATACAGGCAACCTCAGTTAACAAAGTAGATGTGCTCCTGGACATTAGTTCTTTAACAGGAACTTTGGTACCAGAAGCAGAAATAACATAGAGAGGCTAGGGATAGGTTTCTACACCAACACAAAAAAGATGAATAATTCAACATGGTTCAGCAAGTGTTTCATTAAAAACTAATAATATACCTATGTGAAACATGGGAAAGCAACCCACAACTGTAAATATGATACTACCCATATGTGATGAACTAAAACTTCCATTATAACCACCTACCATCTTAGCAAATCTGTCTGGGAATCATGGGAATTGTAGTCCAGCACATTTCGAAGATGGCATGTTGGAGAAAAGTGTACTGTGGAGGGGGGTCCTGACTCCTGAGTACCTGAAAGTTGTGTAAGCAACCATGAGTGAGGGATCCAGGCCCGTAGGCAGGATTTCATTTCGGGGGGGGGGCTAAAAAAATTTCGGGGGGGGTTTCGGGGGGGGCTGAGTTTCGGGGGGGGCTGAGGCTGAGTGAAAGAGGGTCTAGCCTAGCAAACCTTTTGTATCATTACCCCAATACCCCCATGCATATGGGATATATTGAGTATGGTGATCAGATCATGATATGAATAAACATAACAGTTTAAATAAGTGCACCAGTAAGGCCTTTTCGTGAACCACCATGAGAATTTCGGGGGGGGGGCTGAAGCCCCCCAACCCCCCCCCCCCAGCTACATGCCTGGAGGGATCCTAGCTCAAACTCTTCTGTACACACATTTTCAGGTTATATTTAAATAGTGATTCCCCTACTGTGACTGAGCTATTTTATTTTTCTAATGAAACAAAATAATCGTGAGTTATGACTTAAAATAAAAAGTTTGTGTTCTTCAGTCTGATTTTTTTTCTAAAATGAAGATATTCTCCATCTTTTTGACCTGCCTGAAAGAGAGGATCCTGGGTAAAATGATATTTACCAAAAAGAATTCTGGATAAATCCAGAAATCCATATGACTGAAATGTTAAGGGTTTTTTTACTATCTGCCTATCTTACTGAATCCAGTGGTTTTAAACAAATGTCTACAAGCATTACAGCATTCGGATGGTTCTTTGATATGTGAAAATGGAATTCATGTGTCATTCCAGGTTGAGGTCTGCTCTCTTTCCATGGAGTTACAGACTTTGAAATGTAGTCATTAGCTTCTATCACTCTCCTCTTGGCTACATGAAGTGTTCGTTTTTCAGGCCTCTTTCCTGTGTTATTTTCTATCTAAAAAGAGATTTTTTTTAAAAAAAAAACAAACCCTTTAATCTTTATTTAAAGTTATCTAAATAAGGCAAGATGTATAGGCCAAACTCCTTCTCATCTCTGAAAATGTGTTGAAAGACTATTTTGAGGAGAAGATGAGATTATTGTACAACAGCTAAAATATAACACAAATGCATAGTTTATCCAGTCTGGGTATTTCTAGACATTGAATGGTAGTTCACTTAAAATTAAATTGTTTTCTTTTGTTTCCTGCTATTTTCCATAACAACTCTATAAGCTTTGATATAAATGGGTTATACAAGTTTACTTGTCAGGATCTTGTCAGACAAATTACAGAAGAGCCAAACTTTCAGGGATTCATTTTTTTCCGTTCTGTTACTTGTATGGATTGGGAGCACCAACTGCCTTGCTGTCAATTTGTAACAATAGTCACATAGTTTTATCTAGGCCAAAGCAGATGTGACATCAGAGATACATGGCCAGATCTCCTGTGGGGGATTTGCCCTTTAAACAGTGAATACAGCCACGAGAAGTGATGTCTGGGATCTGGGATCACGTGCAGAAGGCAGATTTCTCAGACTCACCTGACCTCAAAGCTGCAATTTTGTATGGTAACAGCAGTCCCTTCCAGAAGAAGGCATAGTCTCCTTTTTCTTCCTTCAGTTGTCCTCCTTCTCTTTGGGTCTCTTGAAGTGCTCCTATAGCGATGTTAAGTGTCTCAGCTCCCTTGCAATAATAACAGCCCTGCGCTCAAGGCATTTGCTGTCTGTGTTGTCTAACAATGTCTGTACGTTCCATGTTTCAAAGTTCATCTTTCTTTTTTGGCCATAAGATGGTGACCCCAGCAGTCCAGTCAGGGATGTGAGAGAGGCAGACTATGGACCTCATCACACTAGAGAATGAATCCATTTTAGTGAGGTTGTTAAAGCCCCCCCCCAAACTACAAATCCCAGAATTCTGCAGGAGGCAGAGACTGGATTGAAAGTGGGTTCATTCTTTAGTGTAATGAAGTAGTAGCCCCCTCTCTTTATGAGGTGAGCACAATGGATCCTACAATGAGCTGTTCAGTTGTGGATACAGCTGCTGAACTACTCAACTGCCTTGGACTTTGAGGCAGAACAACTGAATCCATATCCACCATCCATGTGCCAGTCTGTGGCTAGAGGCTTCTAGATTTCGGAGTCCTGACCCTGTTGCCACTCACTGATTGCCATGGGACTTCTGGTTTTGTTTTATTTTTCTTAGAAGATGCCTGTGCATGAGTTTTTTTTAATGTGTGGAGGTCGGTGTACAGCTGATTAACACACAGTCCTCATAGAATGAGGTTCCTAACCAGTGGCAGGGTGAACATGATGATGGTGGCTTCTCATCTGTTGCAACCGTCTTCTGCCTTCACAGACATTGTAACATGTACCATGCTATCTTCCACCTGCTCTACCGTTGATGTCTTCAGGCTTTCAGATTATGCCCGCAGGTTCATTGGAACATGCAAACCCCCTCAACATGACAAGGTGACAATCCATATGGGTTTATGAGTATTTAGATATTAAATAACACCTCACTTTATTAACATGAAGCTTCAGTTAACCATGAATAAAATCAAATACTAAATAAAAAAAATGAAGTAAAGCCATTACAAAGAAATATTAAACAGATTAGATAAACTTTAAGATCATTTCATTCAGTTACAGTTTGACTGAAATGACTGGCACTTGAGAAAGGTGGTTTTAATTGATGGGCATTTTCTTAAGTACTTTTAATTGTTTTTTCATTCAAAAATTTTTAGAAGCTGTGGTTTGCATTAAAATGCTTTCTTTTTAATTTGTCACTTTTAAAACTTTGTTATGAGACACTATTGAGCTCTGCCTTGGGAGAAAAGAGGATAGAATAAAAAATAGGTCACGTTAACTACATCTGTAAAATACATGACAAAAGAGGACAGTTAAAATTCTCTTATATAATAACCCAATTTCTCTGCCTATTGTCACAAGAAAACTTGGAGAGCTGAAGATGAATTTTAGAGGATGGGCTTCGTTCAATTGCACTAAGAGTTCATCAACACTCTACAATTAACACTGTTCGACACCCCAACAGTCATGTTTCAATGATATGGAAGCCTGGAAACTGTCATTTTATAAGGTTTTTAGCCTTCTCTGCCAAAGTGTGCTGGTCCCTCATCAAACTAAAATAATTCTAAGGTTCCATATCATTGAACCATGGCAATTAAAGTGCTGTCAACCTGCATTCATTCTACAATGTAGATGCATCCCAAGAAAATTTTGCGTCCTC